TGGATTGTCTGGTCCAGACTCGATTATTACAGACCGCCGCCATATAGCTGGAATATTGCTGAGTGTGGCGTAAAACTAAACTCTACTGCCATACCTCGAAGTCCCTATATGACGATCAAGTATATATGCATGTCAGACATGAATGCGGTGTTAGAACGGAAGGCGTCTGTAGAGATAAATGATCCTAATTCTCAGGTTTGGACGCCCTTTTGCCTATCCGCAAAAGGGAACAGCATGGATCTGTTATCACTCACTCACTATTTTAAACCATTCCCGTAGCCACTCACTCACAACTCTCTGTTTGTCTCTGTACTGTTCCGTACAAACTTTTGGAGAGATTTCAACAAATAAGGCAATTTATTAAAATATATCAACACCATGGTGACGTTTAATACCACCCCAGATACCAAAATATAGTCCCTAATGGTTGATAAGGTCCGTATGGCTCTGCAAGCAACAACGCCAACACCACTGTCGTAACCATACACGTAGTAGCTGCTGACGGTGCGGCCTTCACTGTCGGCAATCACATTGTCCATACTTTCTCACTAATCCGGACTTATCTTAAAAACACTCGGAACCGCTTATCCTCTGATTGACCAATAATGCGCGTGTATTACTCCGCGTTAGCGCTAAGTGATGAACAAATTGGGGAGTGATGAGGTGCACTGAAGCGGAAGTGCCTGGTTGTTAGGACGAGAGTTGTCAATGACAAGGAATTAGTGCCCTAGATGGCGTGCCTGCTGTAGTAGTCGTTGAAAGGAAGGCGTCACCAAAGTCGGTGCATATGTGTTGAGATTATTTGAAGCACCATGTTTTGTTATTTCCTTTAATGATGTCTAAGCGTTAAGAGAAACATTAATATATCTACACTTCAGTGTTGTTAAATGTTATGAAAGAGAACAAAATGTTGTGTATTGACTTAAATTATTGATAATTGACTTGATACATTAATTACTATGTTTCGTTTCATTCTTATTTATTTATTTATTTATTTATTTATTTATTTATTTATTTATTTATTTATTTATTTATTTATTTATTTATTTATTTATTTATTTATTTATTTATTTATTATTTTTTTTTTCTTGTATAATTATTAAGGAGCTGTGCTCAATTGGTCTAGCTCGGAAGTTTTGTCTATAAGTGTGATCGTTCACTCTCTGGAATACCGTGCACATCTCAATAGTAAGGCAAGGATGGGATACACGATATCTCCACAAGGGATCGGAATGTTAGAACACATATTCCGTTATCAAAAGCAATAAAAACATCTCTATATAAATTTAGTAGCTCGGTTTTGTTAATGATAAAGGCACCCGATGTAATTTTAATTACATACACTTTACATGTGACAATTATACATATAAGTACCGATTTGAATACACAATGCCATTTAGAAAGTGGGTTAGATGGCTGACTTTGTGTGCTGGCGATTAAGTGTCTGATTCTGAGGGTGTGGGTTCGAATCCCGGATGGGCCTCCACCCAACAAAAAGTACTAGAATCTGTACTTAACTGAGACAGTGTAGTCTCAAATATAACATGCGTTGCATAAGTACCGATCTGTATCGTTATAGGGGGCGGTGGGGTAGCCTAGTGGTTAAAGCGTTGGCTCGTCACGCCGAAGACCCGGGTTCGAATCCCCACATGGGTACAATGTGTGAAGCCCATTTCTGGTGTCCCCGCCGTGATGTTGCTGGAATATTGCTAAAAGCGGGGTAAAACCAAACTCAGTCAGTCAGTCAGTGTATCGTTATAGGATCTCCCGACATGATACTCGGTGTGTTACAGGGGACAGAGATAAAGATGACCTCCAGGTATTCATTACCCGTAAGAGACTTTCATTAACATGTTTCGTTGTAGATTCTCCCAAGTTAGATTCGTCAGCGGAGTTGGACATACGGGAGCTTCAGACGACTGATCTATCATCGGAATCGTTGCAAAGAGCTAAATGTCAACGTCGCCGGAGGACGGCGTTCACCAACCCCCAGCTGCAGTATCTGGAGAAGAAGTTCCGCTGTCAAAAATATCTCAGTGTCAGCGACAGAGCAGAAGTCTCCAAAACACTGGATCTGTCGGAGACACAAGTGAAGACCTGGTACCAGAACAGAAGGTAAGAGTCAGCTACAGATCACTGGATCTATCATAGACACAGAGCGGAGAACAGACGGTAAGAGTCAGTTACAGATCACTGGATGTATCAAAGACACAGGGGAAGAACAGAAGGTAAGAGTCAGTTACAGATCACTGGATCTATCAAAGACACAGGGGAAGAACAGAAGGTAAGAGTCAGCTACAGATCACTGGATCTATCAGAGACACAGGGGGAAGAACAGAAGGTAAGAGTCAGCTACAGATCACTGGATCTATCAGAGACACAGGGGGAAGAACAGAAGGTAAGAGTCAGCTACAGATCACTGGATCTATCAGAGAAGAACAGAAGGTAAGAGTCAGAGATCACTGGGAAGGGGAAGAACAGAAGGTAAGAGTCAGCTACAGATCACTGGATCTATCAGAGACACAGCTACAGACTGGAAGAACAGAAGGTAAGAGTCAGCTACAGATCACTGGATCTATCAGAGACACAGGGGGAAGAACAGAAGGTAAGAGTCAGCTACAGATCACTGGATCTATCAGAGAGACACTGGGGAAGAACAGAACAGAAGGTAAGAATCAGCTACAGATCACTGGATCTATCAAAGAGACACAGGGTGAAGACAATGGAAAGCTAGCGACAGTACAATGGATGAGCCCGGGGCCCGTTTCACAAAGCGATCTTAGCGCTTACGAGATCCTAACTCCCATCCTTTCACAGAGGCTTACGATTACCTTAGCGCTACGATAGCTTTGTGAAACGGGACCCAGATTCGTGGAGCACGGACAGGTCACTGCGAGGAGTAGAACACAGGCATTGTCAGAGACTCTTAGTGTCGACTCTGTACTGTAACAGTGTTAGTGTCAGGTGGTAGTTACCGTTATAACCAAGTCCTAACAAAATTCCTGTGTGATTCAGTCACGTCATATGTCAGGAAGTAACTGCAGAAATATGTCTCTCTTACAGAACTAAATGGAAACGGCAGACGACACCCGAGGCACGAGCGCAGGAATTACGTCATCACATGTGTGACGCAATAGACTGTCCAGGCTCTAGTCACGTGACGGGGGGTGGTCCCGTGTCTCCCCTCCAGCTGCGTTTGGCCATGGCGATCGCCGTCAACACTGACCCCGTCCTGGCGCAGTACTGTCTGAGGGCAGCAGGCGTCATCTAAGTGTGACTGTGAGTGGAATCTGACGTCATCTAAGTGTGACAGTGAGAGAGAGCAATCTGGCGTCATCTAAAGTGTGACTGTGAGAGCTATCTGGCGTCATCTAATTGTGACTGTCAGAGCAATCTGGCCTCATCTAAGTGTGACTGTGAGAGTAATCTGGCCTCATCTAAGTGTGACTGTGAGAGCAATCTGGCCTCATCTAAGTGTGACTGTGAGAGTAATCTGGCCTCATCTAAGTGTGACTGTGAGAGTAATCTGGCCTCATCTAAGTGTGACTGTGAGAGCAATCTGGCCTCATCTAAGTGTGACTGTGAGAGCAATCTGGCCTCATCTAAGTGAGAGTGAGCTATCGTCATCTAGGTGTGACTGTGACAGCAATCTGGCGTCATCAGGTATGACTGTAGTGAGCAATCTGGCCTCATCTGATGGTGACTGTGAGAGCTGCGTCACCAGGCTGTGTGAGTGTCAATCTAGCGTCATCAGTCTGTGTGAGAGAATCACTCATCTAAGTTTTCAACAACTGTGTGTTAGTCAAATGGTGTCCGTTCGCTCTCTCTGTGTGTGTGTGTGTGTGTGTGTGTGTGTGTGTGTGTGTGTGTGTGTGTGTGTGTGTGTGTGTGTGTGTGTGTGTGTGTGTGTGTGAGAGAGAGAATCATCTTGTGAATGGGTTAGATCTAGTGTTTCAATCGACAATACTGCGGCATTTTTGTTTAGAGACTCGTGTTGCCACTCCTTGTGTGTTGTTGAATAACTACAGCAGCAGACATCAGGACCCTGACAGGAGACGCGGGTGTTTTCTGTATCACCTGTCGATGATGTACGTGTCGACGAAAGTCTCATGTTCACACGTGACGATGTTCACACCGTGACAAAACTCACTGACTCTAATTACACCACCATGTATATAACAATCGGCGTGTACCCTATTGCCCTGTGTATCCCGGCGCTCGTGTTACATAATGCAGTGTTGTTGTGTGACAGACAATGCATGATATTCATGATGGCAGACCATATACCCGGAAGTGGACACGAGATTGATCCAGTGTTTGGTGCATCAACACCCAATAACGGAATAGCCACCGCTACATTTGTGAATACATTATTATTAGTATTAGCTAGGATGAAGATGATTCTGTAAGCCTTGACCCCAATGTCAATGTGTTTGACCAGTGACAGGGTGGATGATGCTCTGTGCAGGAGGCACATGGGATATAACGAATGTATCTAGATGAAATATAACGGATGTACCTTAGAATCACAGGTGTTTCTTGTCTATAGACATGTTATTAAGTAATTCACACAAGCGGGAGTCTCTGGGTGAGGTGGAGAGGAGGGCGTGCGCAATGGTCTCAGGCATCTGTGGAAACGTATGTCTCTCAAATGACCGTTGCAGCATCCGCAGGTGACTGGAGGGTCACTGGAGACGTTTCTCCCACATGGAGTTGACGCGTGTTGCGACCAGAACTGGGATAACTACCATAGAGAATTATACGTGTTCTTTTCAACTATGTATTGAAACGACGCGCTGCAATATACAAACCGTCACACTTTCCAAAGCGGCGTTCAACCCTAATCCTTCCTTCGCATGTAGATGGGGTTAGTTTACTGTAAGTGGATAACACTAACTATATAACATTACATGATAGTTTAGTAAACACGTTAACCAAATCACCAACTAAACCCCCTCAAATACCCAAAAGTGGTACCACTTGAAAAAAATACAAATGAGTTGAAGTTCACATTAATTTATGAAAATATAAATATGGTTGGTCGGGGACGTCCACAGCGTTCATCACAACACATGGGATGCCAACAGAGTGCATTATGGGTACACTGTGCCTTCTAATGCTATATTTATAATTAAAAAGAAAAAGATTATCGTTGATAAAATATACAGTTGCTGGCAGCAAAATGTGCTGATATGAGAACTGACGCGAGGAATAAATATATATTCAAGATGGCGACCGCAGAACTTCCGGTGCAGGCTGTATTATGGGTCTGTTGCGCTGGTTCCAGTTCCGGCTGAAATCCGATGTCGTAGTCTCCGCAGTAACCGGGGAGAATGGGCTGTGCAGGAATACCACGTCTGTAGACAACAGTGAGGAGAGACAGAATGAATACACAGTTGGTCTACCGTTTTTTAGCATACAGTTATACGGTTAACATAATATAATTTCGTTAAAGTATTACAGTGAAAGTCCGTTGATCCTGACACCGCATAATCCGGACACCCTTCTTTCCGAACGTTCCTTTGAAAGTTCGGGTTAGAGTTTGTTTGTTTTTCTTTCCCAATAGGCGACAGATGAAGTAGGGTGGTCAGGTAAACTGACATACAGGCCATGCTGTCCCAGTGGTTTACAAAACAAACTCTGAAACAATCCTGTCTCGAACTCGGCACAGATTCCATACTAATAATTCCTCAATCCGGATTTGTTTAGATCTGTATTAACCAAATTTCACTGTACCTCAAAAATGGAACATTTACATTTACTGTTGCCAGTACATGCCTCTGCTCTCTTACCTGACCATGCGACACCTCTGCTGGTCAATCCTGAACCTGGCGGTGTTGACGTCCGTCACGGACTCCGGACTCCACAGACGCTCCGCCACAGCTGACGCACGTGGCCTGGAAACACAAGCTGGCACTAAGTATGACGGACATACTACATTTTCAGTGGTTTAAATCCGTGACATGAACCGATCGGCTGGTCCAGTCGTACCTGACCAGCACTGCCCAAAGTAGCCACTTCTCTCCCGAGTATGGGGAAGCGCCTATAACGCACAATAATTGAGTTGTCGTTCTTTGATTCCGACAATAAACCCCGTAGCATCTTCGCCGCCATACAGCTGGAGTGCGTCGTAAAACTAAACTCACTCACTCCCAAGCTTCCTGACTACCAAGGTCTTTGAGACGCCGTTAATTGAACTATTTTTCCCTTTTTAATACATCCGTTAATCAATTTATTGAGTTCAAAATCTCGATCTTGAGACATCATTAAAGGTCACATGCAACGTAAAACACAACTTTGCAGATTCTGATACCTCTCGGTATGGACATACCGCAACAAATCGTCAAAATGCAAATTCAACTTATAAAGTTGAAAAATAACGCGATGAAAAACGGAGTTCAAACGTTTCACTAATTTTCCCCAGACTTTTCTGGGAAAACGGAGTTTCAACAGTTGGGTTTCAACAGCTGCGCAAGTAAATAGGTTCGCGCAGCTTGGAAGCGGGTTGTCAGGTGAATACTCGGTGAAGGCTTTGGTGTGAGCTATTTTTCTAATGTTTTGTTGATATCTCACAGGCGCGAGCTTTTTATATGTTATGACAGTAAATTAACTGTTTATATAATTTCATTTGTCTATTTCACCACACGTTCTTCTTACCGAGACACTTTCTCAGTTCGATACTTAAAAGCAATGTCATTATTTAGCGTTGACAGAATTTCTAACTGTGATATAGATATGTCGTTGTCACAGACAAAACTCAATGTCTTGTTTTTGACAATATTCAATACACAGCTGCTATCACTGACCACATGCAATTTGAACTTAACACCAATCAGGCTATACACCATAAACAAAATGCATTGATTTATGGCCCGAGTTCGGTCTCTGTCACATTATGTAATTACACAGACAGGCAGGTGTGATACTTGAACACATGACATGTTATGATGTCTGTTGATTGCAAAATGTTATACACAAAAAATGAGCATGTATTTACAAAACCCAACATCTCTCTATATATATACACACAATTAGCCGTGAAGGCATCTGCAAATGAACCAGCCGTTACACTTGAGTGCACACCCACCCGCTCTGACTGGGTTCGGTATCCCGACTGCTTCGTTTCTTGGGGGTTCACACCCATAACCCTACATGCCACTACCCCTACACTCCAGTACCCCTACAGCTAGTTAAAACAACACCTAGCATTTACCTGTCTGATATAATAGACTAATCCTAAAGAGGGATTAGTGCATGGAGCATAGATGAGATCAAGGGATGCATAAATGTGATTAGTCTTTTGTGGCAAGGAAATTAGTGGTCTCATGATGAAAACAAACCTCAACCCTGAGTAGAAGAAACATACAATTGGAAAAGTGTTGTGATTGCTAAATGTTGTTAAGAAAAGTTGTTATAGTGCACTTTAATGTTACATATATTACAATGTTGAGAAGTTGAGAGAAATAAAACGTGGAGATGATACAGGAAATTGAGATTGTTCCATACAGTATATAAGTGCTGACATGAAACAAACATGGCATCAACATGGCTGGTCTTCGCAATGTTGAGTTTGTTATGTCACGGAGAGGTAGCCGTCAAGTTCTGTTGGATGGATATCTTCACACTAAGAATGTTGAGCGACAGACCTGTGTACACTGGAAGTGTGTGCAGTCAACATGCAAAGGAAGAGTCACAACTAGCGACTTCAACGACTACATCGTGACAACATGGGTCGACGACACTGCCAGATTTTTTCTTCACCTGTGGAACCACAACTTGACAGCTGGGCCGAGGACAAACAACAACCTGGAAGGATTCCACAACCGTCTGAATCGAGAAATTCCACACAGGCACCCGAACATCTACAGATTTGTAGAAGTCATCAGGAGAGTCGAACACGCCGAGAGGTGAGGATTGCTCAGATTGACTTTGGTGTTGCGCCAACAAACAGAAAACGAGTGTACAGAGATCGACAACCGTCTGTGCAGACTCGAGGAACAGCTTCAGCGTGGACAGAAATCCCTCTTCAGTTTCTTGACGCCGTCGGCTACCTGCTCAAGCTTGGATAGACTGTAACACTGACACTTGAACACTTGTGATAATGTAATAATGTGGTCTTTCTCTCATCCTGATATGTTGATATGAAACACTTGTGATAATGTGATCTTTTGTTCATCCTTATATGATGATATGAAAACACACTGAATGTAAATAGACTGAAAAACTTGACAATTATTGATCTCAATGTGTGATGTATTAAGGTCACACTTTTGATTAAAGAACCACTAAACTTTGTTTTGTTACTCTTTTAACCATTACATATGAAGATTTGTGGTTAGTCTTATGCGGAACACCAAATTTATTCTTTAAAACTTGTGGTTAATTAATACCGAGCGATTAAAAGTGGCCAAAAGTCGCCTGCTTCCCTCTCGCCCGCCAACAGAAACCACAGACAGGTTACGTAACTCTGTCGCCAGAGCACTGCAGTGACGTCATATGAGGAACGATTTTCAGTTAGTTGTATAGAAAATGTGTAGCACGCTCATCATTTTGATGATTTCTCGACATCAACGACGACATGCCGAATCGTTGCTTTGTCGTCAATTGCTCCTAGGGGTCGGGCGATGGTGTCCCCATGCACAGATTTCCACAGGACCCGCAGTTCGTGCTAAATGGGTTATGTTTGTGAGTGCGAAGCGAGCGTTGTGGAAGCCTGAAACGATATCTTACTTGTGTTCAGATCGCTTCACGGAAGTTAAAGAATCAAAACTACTTACTAGTTGTAGTAAAATATGCATATGATTGATGACCATAAAGATTTTCTATGACACAACTTGTAACATAACGATTTCTTCCTCGGAAGTGAGGTTGTGGTCGAAGTAACAATAATATTGTAAGTAGTATTATATTGACACCCACCTCGCTGCCACGAGAGAAATTGTTATGTTATACGCTATGTCATGCAAAATCCTATTGGCCATCAATAAAATACATATTTTACTACCAGTAGAAAGTAGTTTTGATTTTATAACTCAGTGAAAACAAACCTAAATACCATTTATCCTCAGACTGGCGGATGTTCCCGACAGAGTCGCCGCCATTTTAAAAATAAAAAAATCTGTTAGAATTAATGAGATTATAGTTTGTTTTCATCAAGTTAGAAAATCAAGACTACTTTCTACTCGTAGTTAAATATGTATTGGAATCATAACCAAACGGATTTTGCATGACACAACTTATAACATAACGATTTCTTCCACGGAAGCGAGGTGGGGGTCGAAGTCACAATACTGCGCGATAAATTTCTTGCTACATTCCATGGTTAATGTCCACTCACCAGTATGTAGATACTAGTCAATGTGCGTCTTTATATTTGGTCTTATAATCCTAATTAGTTTATTATCATACTTGTATGCATTTTGAAACTAAATAAAAAGCAGACGATCTGCTGATACTTATAGTGAATTTATAACAGAACTGTAATATCTAGACATTTTATAGTTTGCCAATGTGAATCATAATTCCGCACACACCCTAGTGCATGTTGTCTGTCTCATTACACTTCACGGCGAAAACAATGATTCTGTTGAATGCTACGACAAATGAATAAAAACAAAATGCAAATATTAAAATTAAAACAGATTAAAGTTATAGGAACAATATCAGGCCATTACCTTGTTCGAGGAATGTATCCATCAATATCCACAAAACTGTTCCAAATGATGTGTCTTTTAACAGTTTAATATACGAAAAGTGATAAATCTTTTCAGGTATTGGTGTATAGTCTCATTGGTCACCCAAGATAGCACACCTGGCAACTAATTGCATAATGTCCGCCTTTCTTTAAAAACAGTAATTTAGTTAGCCAATAATGGGCAATCAATCAATGTATTGCCGGTTAATCCTTTGAAAGAAGGACGTTTTTACGCAGACACCGACACGACAGAGTGTATTCAGTATAGATTAGTAAATCTACATACATAAACACTACCTTTTGACAATTCCGCTGTGTAAGATAAAAGTAATTAATCAATCAGCGTGTTATCGGTTAATCCTTTGATCGATGTTTATAATGTTGAATATTTACTCCAGACACAAGAAATGCCAAATGGGAACCTTTGTCGGGTAATCTAAGTGTGTTACCACTAATTATACCTGTTATAAATTCATTAACTGACCATCAAGTGAATGATGACAAATAACATGTGTAGGTTTATACCACCTAACACGGGTTACAACGAGGGAGTATTAATTGCTGTATTGCATGTGAAAACTTATGGGCCGACACTGTTTTGAGAATACAAACAGATTTTTACATGACATGATTAAATATCGAGGTAAAAAAACACAGAAATGGGATCGATTTGGATCAGTCATTATACAAATAGGGCCTAACGACACCAATCGATTTTGACAGAATCGTCTATGAAAACAAGTTGTAACTCGGAAACTAGGCAAAGCAGGAGACAAAATTAAATGACAGTAGATTGTGAGAACATATAGCTTTCATTTTCCACAACAATTGTCACGATTTCAGGTTTATACAAGCCTGTAAACAAGATAATTTAACCCCTAAAATGTAGATGAATTCTGCATCGGCCCTCAAAGCTATTCCTCATATGACGTCACAGAGGCGCGCCGCTCTGATTGGTTGAAATTTCGTTCGCGGGTGAGAATTGTGCACTGTTGTCAAAAAGGTCGATTTAAGTCAATTAAAGGTCGAAATGAGTAGTTTTAATGACGGGGTTTCATTTATAACGATGCCAGTTAGTGATTTATGTATTTGTACCCCTAGGGTTTATGTGACCTTTAAATTGATACTGACATATGAACAAAAACTAAGTAGATATGACTCAATTGGATTATTGATTTAGAATATTATAGAGAATCTCACCCGAGAATCATCTGGTACTGAATACATACACGCGTAGAAAAATGTTAAAGGTCACATAAACCCTAGGGGTAAAATACATAAATCACTATCTCGCATCGTTATAAATGAAACCCCGTCATTAAAACTACTCATTTCGACCTTTAATTGACTTAAATCGACCTTTTTGACAACAGTGCACAATTCTCACCCGCGAACGAAATTTCAACCAATCAGAGCGGCGCGACTCTGTGACGTCATATATATACTGTCATTTAATTTTGTCTCCTGCTTTGCCTGGTTTCCGAGTTACAACTTGTTTTCATAGACGATTCTGTCAAAATCGATTGGTGTCGTTAGGCCCTATTTGTATAATGACTGATCCAAATTGATCCCATTTCTGTGCTTTTTTACCTCGATATTTAATCATGTCATGTAAAAATCTGTTTGTATTCTCAAAACAGTGTCGGCCCATAAGTTTTCACATGCAATACAGCAATTAATACTCCCTTGTTGTAACCCGTGTTAGGTGGTATAAACCTACACATGTTATTTGTCATCATTCACTTGATGGTCAGTTAATGAATTTATAACAGGTATAATTAGTGGTAACACACTTAAATTACCCGACAAAGGTTCCCATTTGGCATTTCTTGTGTCTGGAGTAAATATTCAACATTATAAACATCGATCAAAGATTAACCGATAACACGCTGATTGATTAATTACTTTTATCTGACACAGCGGAATTGTCAAAAGCAGTAGTGTTTATGTATGTAGATTTACTAATCTATACTGAATACACTCTGTCGTGTCGGTGTCTGCGTAAAACAACGTCCTTCTTTCAAAGGATTAACCGGCAATACATTGATTGATTGCCCATTATTGGCTAACTAAATTACTGTTTTAAAGAAAGGCGGACATTATGTAAATTAGTTGCCAGGTGTGCTATCTTGGGTGACCAATGAGATTATACACCAATACCTGAAAAGATTTATCACTTTTTCGTATATTAAACTGTTAAAAGACACATCATTTGGAACAGTTTTGTGGATATTGATGGATACATTCTTCGAACAAGGTAATGGCCTGATATTGTTCCTATAACTTTAATCTGTTTTAATTTTAATATTTGCATTTTGTTTTATTCATTTGTCGTAGCATTCAACAGAATCATTGTTTTCACCGTGAAGTGTAATGAGACAGACAACATGCACTAATTGTGTGTGCGAATTATGATTCACATTGGCAAACTATAAAATGTCTAGATATTACAGTTCTGTTATAAATTCACTATAAGTATCAGCAGATCGTCTGCACTTTTATTTAGTTTCAAAATGCATACAAGTATGATAATAAACTAATTAGGATTATAAGACCAAATATAAAGACGCACATTGACTAGTATCTACATACTGGTGAGTGGACATTAACCATGAATGTAGCAAGAAATTTATCGCGCAGTATTGTGACTTCGACCCCCACCTCGCTTCCGTGGAAGAAATCGTTATGTTATAAGTTGTGTCATGCAAAATCCGTTTGGTTATGATTTCAATACATATTTAACTACGAGTAGAAGTAGTCTTGATTTTCTAACTTGATGAAAACAAACTATAATCTCCTTAATTCTAACAGATTTTTATTTTTAAAATGGCGGCGCTCTGTCGGGAACATCCGCCAGTCTGAGGATAAATGGTATTTAGGTTTGTTTCCACCGAGTTAAAATCAAAACTACTTTCTACTGGTAGTAAATATGTATTTTATTGATGGCCAATAGATTTTGCATGACAAAGCGTATAACATAACAATTTCTCTCGTGGCAGCGAGGTGGGTGTCAATATATACTACTTACAATATTATTGTTACTTCGACCACAACCTCACTTCCGAGGAAGAAATCGTTATGTTACAAGTTGTGTCATAGAAAATCTTTATGGTCATCAATCATATGCATATTTTACAACAACTAGTAAGTAGTTTTGATTCTTTAACTTCCGTGAAGCGATCTGAACACAAGTAAGATATCGTTTCAGGCTTCCACAACGCTCGCTTCGCACTCACAAACATAACCCATTGCTGAACTGCGGGGTCCTGTGGAAATCTGTGCATGGGGACACCATCGCCCGACCCTAGGAGCAATTGACGACAAAGCAACGATTCGGCATGTCGTCGTTGATGTCGAAATCATCAAAATGATGAGCGTGCTACATTTTCTATACAACTAACTGAAAATCGTTCCTCATATGACGTCACTGCAGTGCTCTGGCGACAGAGTTACGTAACCTGTCTGTGGTTTTCGTTGGCGGGCGAGGGGAAGCAGGCGGACTTTTGGCCACTTTTAATCGCTCGGTATTAATTAACCACAAGTTTTTAAAGAATAAATTTGGTGTTCCGCATAAGACTAACCACAAATCTTTCATATGTAATGGTTAAAAGAGTGACAAAAACAAAGTTTAGTGGTTCTTTAAAACACCGAGGACTTGCCAAGGTCTCACCAGTATCTGGAGAGGAAGTTGGTGCCGTCCACATACTCCGCCCACAGACACGCCTCTCCCCCAACCACGTGACGCCGCTGTGTGTCGGTGCCTGGAGGGATGGAGTGTCACCTTTAGTTTTACTTTCACATAAGTTGGAAACTCCAGATTTCATACACACACACAGTGCACCAAAGGAGGTGCTACGCTCACAATTTGATGTCGATTGTATGTTTTACGGCATTATCTCACTATAGTCGGTTTTCATTTAGTGGGAAATTCATCGCGGCGGTTCTGTTATGGTGTTAAATGGGGAATATTTGAGGGAAATTTGAGGAACCATGCAGAGCTCTGCTGTGGTTCCCAGACTGAGTTTGGTTTTACGCCGGTACAATATTTAGACTCGACATGTGGGGATTTATATTTCAGAGCAAGATGCCTGTCTTGGGTTGCTGTGGTTGGAGCATTCTCGCATCAGTTAACAATGAACAGATGAGGATATACTGACTCCACGCAATCCAAGACAGGGTTTTGGTAATCACACTAGTGTTACCGTTGAAGTCCAGCGGGTCGCACTTGTAGTAGTCTACCCAGTCCTCGCCGTAACTGATGACGTTGAGATACCAGCACGAGGAGAAGATGACGTCATAACCTTGTTCTGTCACATGTCTCATGTACTTCCGCCAGTCCTCGAATTTAGCAGGCCACTGTTTTGTGTCTTTCCAGACCTGCACCAGAGCGTTCAGGGCCACCTGCAATGTAGCATTCGTAACTACTCGCCTCTTTCCGTGACCTACAAGAAGACTCGTACCCCTATCGTACGCCATTATTGCCAAGAATCGTGGCAAACCAATCAAATCGCGCGTAGTAAAACGCATTTCGAAGCATGAAAATGGCGGCGCCGTTGAAGTTTGAAACTTCGCTAAACTATGCAAAGCACAAGTTAAACATAAACTTTGCGCTAAAGGATCAGAAACTTTAAACACTGAAACATATTTACAAAGGGAATGACTGTATTGCTGTTTTGCCCACGGGATATAGGATATTCTAGGAGCCATGTTTGGAAATTCAGAGTTATCTTTCCTTGGCAATAGTACTAGACTATTTTCATCTCCATGCCCGTTTGCGCTTAGACAGGGCCCAGTCGTAAACATGGCCACGAGAGGGGTACGAGACGCCATCCCGGCTTGCCGGAATGACACGAGTAGTTACGAATGGCAATGTAGCAGATACAGTGAGCTTGTGTGTGAGTGAGTGGTTGAGTTGTAGGGTGGATGGGTGACTGAAAATGAGGATACTTCAATGACGTAATGGGCATTGTCACACCCTCACCAGGAAAACTCTTACTGCTGTATCATCATCATTGTCGAGTTGGCAGTGTACAAAATACCCCGAATATCGTTCTTACTGTTTTTATAATAATGTAATAGTTATATGACACTATTTGAGTTACATGAAAACGTGCCAGTTTAGACAGAAGCTGAAGGGTGTATGGGTCAGCTGTTTTACAGGGGAGTGGAACATATGATCTAAGGGACGCAGTCTGTACACCGTCCTAGACTACTATCCCACGGCACCAGCCTCTCACACAACATGAGCTACAGTAAATGAAGAAAGGTGAGGTGAGGTGAAATTTGGGTTTAATTCGCTCATATGACGACGTGCATGCGTGTGTATGTGTATGTGCGGCTGCTTGTACTAGACCAGACTGAAGCTGGTTTTATAGTGCTAGCCCACTGAGATACAATGCCGCACTGAAGCATGAATACCCCACTCAGACACATTATACTGACTCCGAGCCGACAGTCCTTGTTGTACCCATTAATGCCGAGCGCCAGGCAGGGATCAACAAGTACCATATTTTAACGTCTCTTGGTATGACGCGGTTGGGGAAATGAAGAAAGACTCGGATTCTTTTGGCTGACTGACTGACTGAGTTGGGTTTCACGACGTTTTTAGCAATAATCCAGCAATATCAAGGCGGGGGACACCAGAAATGGGCTTCACAAGTTGTACCCATGTGTGGAATCGAACCCGGGCCTTCGGCGTGACGAGCGAACGCTTTAACCACTAGGCTACCCCACCGCCCCCGGATTCTTTTGGTCCAACTAGAATACTGGCATTTAGATTGCGGAAACATGTAATCCATTATTCTGAAGATCACAGGCCGTGCCCGTTTGACAACAAACATTCTATCTTTCTGTGCCTTGTGAGTTATTACCTATGCCATGATTACATAAAGTGACTGACTTTAACTATGCTATGTAATCTGTGGACCAGTTCTACGATATTATTTATAACAATTTTCCTATCTCTCTTGAGAAATTCAGTTGGGACAAAACTATTGTCATGTTCATGTTCATGTATTACGCTGATGAAAACGTACATACAGTTATTAGCAAAGTTTAACCACATCTCCAGCTAGAGTAATCATCAGAATTAATGTCCCTCGCAATTATCGGCATTTTACATGCATACACTGCTGTGTTGGTCTTATGTCTGCTGAAGGCTGCTTTCAGTGCTATGTCCTACCTTCCCGCCATTGTCTATTGGGTCCTGCCACACCAGATACCGTTTGCGCATTCCGGAAATGATGTCAAGAAGCCTGACATTGAAGTACTGCTCCAGTCTGTAGAACTCCCCTGGCTTATAACCCATCTGAGACATGAAGTCAGAGATATTCGGGCTGGACATCCTGTAACATGATATAGTGAGTGAGTAAGTTGGGTTTTACTCCGCCTTTAGCAATATTCCAGCCATATCATGGCGGTGGACACCGGAAATGGGCTCACACGTTGTACCGGGGTCTGTGCCTGCTTTAAAATGCCTGCTTTTAAGGCAGATGAACGACTACTATTCAGCTAAGCTGATCATTTTTGAAAGGTTGATAATGGCGACGAAAAGCCATTCTAATTATCTGACAATTTCTAATTAGCTTCACATTGCATAGTGTCAGCATTCGTGGAGTACGCAGATCACGATAGGTCATTCACTTGTAACTGACCTTTCATTGTAATTATCTAGTCCTCTTTAACAAGCTTCATACTTTGTGGTGACATGTGAACAACGCTGCAGGAACTCCGCCAAATAATTCCTCGGATATGAAATGATCTTCTCCAGGACTTATTAGTGGCCTCAATGATGTCGAAAGTGCCAGGCCTGCATCAATGCACAAGGTGGACACTCACGCCACTGACCATGTGAACTTGCTTTTGAACCCCCACTTGTTTTATGGCACCTTTGCATAAGAAAGGTTCGCTGTTCGTGTGGATTGTTGATTGTTGCCATACCTTGAAACATTGTCTTTCTATGTAATAAGGGGGCGGTGGGGTAGCCTAGTGGTTAAAGTGTTTGCTCGTCACGCCGAAGACCCGGGTTCGATTCCCCACATGGGTACAATGTGTGAAGCCCATTTCTGGTGTCCCCCGCCGTGATATTGCTTGAATATTGCTAAAAGCGGCGTAAAACCATACTCACTCACTCACTCTATGTAATAACATTTCATTCACGGCAGTAAAAGTTTAACACTGATTCTGTGTGTTGTTTGTGTGTAACTAACTTTGCCTGTGAGTACATACGAGTGGTTTACCAGCACATATAATGAGCCTCGTCCATCCCCATGTGGAGGAACTCGTCCTTGAAAACGTCCTTCACCTCTGAGAAGAATTCCGACAGGAAGTCGTAGGTTGCATTCTGGGTAGGGTCTAGGTTCTCATATTCGGCGTGATCGGAATAATTGGCTCTCGCTGGTTCTCCGTCCGCCCAGCAAGTGGTCAGCAGATCTGAAGAGTGAGTGAGTGAGTGAGTGAGTGAGTGGAGAGACAGCTACAGACTCCCATTTGGTAATCCGGTAATGACACACGGACATAGGATAATACAAACAAGGTACGAACTTATTATGACGGACACCGTCGGATGACTACCAATCATCGATTGAACACATAATCATGGTGCGACGAAGAACCACCTTGTGTAACGACACAATCTCACGTAGAGATGACGAATGATATTTGTGTGACAACACCCAATCTAGTGTTGGATCCCAAAAGTTTGTGTCTAAATTTTCCGTTTATGTTTCTAACTCCGTGGTGTAAGTAACTAAACCTGCACACTCAAACATCTCAAATCTTGTCCGACCTTATTTTACATAAATGCGACCAATGTGTTAATGTAAAGTCTCTACTCACACTTCAGAGCTCTGCCCCAACCCTGCGCATGCCCAGGTGTGTCAAATTCCGGAATCACACGTATACCACGCATGCGCGCATATTCGATTATGGCTGTAATGTTGTCTTGGGTGTAAAGATGTTTACTGGAATAAGCCCCCTGAAATAGAGTGCAACAGGCATAGTGACAATGTAGACATTCACCTCCCCTATCTCGCTCGCACGCACGCATGCACGCACGCACGCACGCACGCACACACACACACACACACACACACACACACACACACACACGCACACAGAGATCCACGCACTCACCAAGGCCCATCACATTAAACAAGCAGTAGTACACACGCACACAGAGATACTCACAGGCTCTGTATGGAACCAACTACATAGTCATTCACTCAGATAAACACTCACTCACGCACAGAATTCGACAAGCGAGAGAATCACATAACCATACGCACACATTACATGGATTATTATACGCACAGCGTATACACAGACACGCACAGACACTCACAGACACGCACAGACATACCATTGTACTCAGTTATGGCAATAGCACTGATACTTCAAACATGGTCATTGAATCTGACCTTGTTTCATCTATTAAAGTGACTAAGTCCATTTTCCATTATTGAGAACAAAAATATTCAAATGTATTTTAGGATTCCTCAATTACTTAATTTATGATTACATGTTTTGTAAGTTGTACCTTGTCATCAAGAACGCCACACAGTTTGAAATCAGGATCTGGTGTCCATAGTGTGTGACCTTATGCCCTCTCTCTCTCTCTCTCTCTCTCTCTCTCTCTCTCTCACACACACACACACACACACACACACACACACACACACACACACACACATCATTAAGACACACGGTCCCACCGAGTCGTGACATCTATGAACTGCTACACACTTATCGTTCAGTTCAAAGCGGCGTTACTGACCTTCTGGGACAGTTCCGGGAACCTGGTGCTGACGTAGGGGAAGCTCTGGTCGTCCACGATGTGCCAGTGGAACACGTTCAGCTTGTTGTAGGCCATGGCGTCCTAGTCCGCAAACAACAAAATCAGATCACCTGTTAGTTGTGCAGCGTGTTTCTGTCTGGCGTAGCAGGACAGTGCTTGTGTGTGTAATTTAGTTTCAAAAATAACGACAGGCAATAGCGTGCTAGGGGCAGCGGGGTAGCCTAGTGGTTAATGCGTTCACTCGTCACGCCGAAGACCCGGGATCGATTACCCACATGGGTACGATGTGTGAAGAGTTTTGGTGTCCCCCGCCGTGATATTGCTGGAATAATGCTTATAGCGGCGTAAAACCATACTCACTCACTCACCCAAAAGAGTGCTGGAGCATATTTCAGCCTTGGTGGTCACGGGGACAGGTTCCGTGGAAGCACTATTAAAAGTTACAATACTGACACACACACGCATCACCCCAACACACAACCCCTCACACTCTACACACTTAAACACAACCCTCACCATGCCCACCCAGCTTCCCCTGACATTCCCACAACAAAAAGGGAGAGGTTGGGACAAGATCGTTTCAACTGTATTTGGTTTCTTTTCACTGTTGTTGTTGTTGTTGTTGTTGTTGTTGTTTACTGGGTACTATGACTACGCCCCCATACCAGGTGCTTCAGCAGGAGGGGCACGGGGATGTAGTGACGGGCAGTGTCAACCATGCTGCCTCGGTGCTGGAACCTGGGCCTGTCCTCGATGTAGGTCTCGCGGATCTTGTGCTGCAACAACAGAATTATAAACACGTCAAACTGTGAACTTTTAACTTTGTGAGACTGTGTGGAAGTGTTCTTAATGTTGTTGACAGCGTGACACTGTTGTAACCATTGTTGAGTGAGTGTAGGTGCTGTTGATTTTGTTGACTGTGTGGTTGTGTTGTTGAAGGTATTGACTGTGTGGAGCTGCTGTCAGCGTTGTTGATAAGTTTGCTGTGTGATACTGTTGTTGAGGTTGTTGACTGTGTGGAGCTGCTGTCAGCGTTGTTGATAAGTTTGTTGTGTGATACTGTTGTTGAGGTTGTTGACTGTGTGGAGCTGCTGTCAGCGTTGTTGACCTGTTTGCTGTGTGATACTGTTGTTGAGGTTGTTGACTGTGTGGAGCTGCTGTCAGCGTAGTTGACCTGTTTGGTGTGTGATACTGTTGTTGAGGTTGTTGACTGTGTGGAGCTGCTGTCAGCGTTGTTGATAAGTTTGCTGTGTGATACTGTTGTTGAGGTTGTTGACAGTGGAGCTGCTGTCGGCGCTGTTGATAAGTTTGCTGTGTGATACTGTTGTTGAGGTTGTTGGTTGTTGTCAGCGTTGTTGACCTGTTTGCTGTGTGTGTTGTTGAGCTGCTGTCGGCGCTGTTGATAAGTTTGTTGTGTGATACTGTTGTTGAGGTTGTTGACAGTGTGGAGCTGCTGTCAGCGTAGTTGACCTGTTTGCTGTGTGATACTGTTGTTGAGGTTGCTGACTGCGAAAGTGTTGTTACTGTTGTTGATTGGTTTACCTGGTCTGCATCCAGGAAGATGAGCTGACTGAATGTCTCCAGACCTGTAACAGACGTAACAGCGTGTAACACACTCTCCGTGTGGTAAACAAACGTTCAAGTCATCCTGCAGGATACAGTTAGTTGCAACATTGAAGGAAACCAGTTTCTGACAATGGAACCAAGATTCCTACCTCTCAGAGCTCCCCAAACGGACTGTGTTTCCATGACAGCCGAAGACGTCACGTTGAGGGTATCTAGGTAATAAACATACTGCGTTAGTGACAAGTATATTCTGTTTGCAGTGAAAACGTACCGATGAATTTCGCTTTAAACGAAAAGTAAATCTAATAAAGTGAAATTAAGATTGCGAATCCTCTTAATTTTACCTTGCCAATTGAACATTTAAATCTCAGAATTTTATTCATCTTAGGATAAAAGTTGTTTAACAAACGATCATAGATTCAAATCGCTATTATTGGTTTGCATTACAAGGGGGTAAGCGTAGTAGTTGAAACAGTGAAACAACTGCACGTGCGGTACTGATGAGCGTTAACTTACACCAACCATACTTGTTCTAGGTGTTTCATCTAATGTGCATACCCCCTTGTAATACAAACCAATAATAGCGGTTTTAAACCATGATCGTTTGTTAAACAACTTTTATCCTAAGTTGAATAAAATTCTGAGATTTAAATGTTCAATTGGCAAGGTAAAATTATGAGGATTCGCAATCTTATTTTCACTTTATTCGTTTTTGTTTAAGGTGAAATTCATCGGTACGTTTTCACTGCAAACAGACTATAGTAACAAGTAGAAACAATTTGTCCACAACCTCATTCTGTCATGCGGGGGAAAATCTGAAGTCTGAAACGTTCACTGATTTTACAGAATCCACAAGAACCAGTATGGTGAATGATAAAGTAAGGATAATTGGATGATGAGATTCGAACCTCTGTAAGCAGATTCTGGTACGACGAAGGGCCGTAACTCTGTTCTGTAAGTAAATCTGGCGATGCCTTCGACGACTGTGCCAGTCATTCAGAGTGAGTTAAGAAACATAATATATGTGCTGTTCACAGATTAGCTCAGAGGAATGTGAGAGGTAGGTTCGAATCTCATAATTGTGCGGATGATGTACCCGATATAGCCGGGTCAGAGTCTTAACATGTGAGTGCTAGAATCCACTGACAACATTGTACATTGCACCTCAGGCTATGAACAATGAGTGCCACATCGATTCACAGAGACAATTGTAATCCTGATGTCGAAACACCTTAAGTGGTGCTGGTCATTAACGAATAACGCTCTGGGGAGACACACCAACCAACACTTATTGTCAGGGTGAATTTTGAACTTTATAATACAAAATGGATCAATAAAAATATTGTAAGATTATTTTCTCCTACTTCTTTGAGCACAATACCAAACTGTGATAAATCTTTGCCACTGACGTGTTACCCTATTTTATGATTTACGACATTCATTACATGCTCGGTTATCTACGACGGTATACTCGACAAGAGTAAACACTGTCCTTGTTCCACTTACAAGACTCATCCATCTCGAAACTGGGGTATCCGTCACAGGCCGCGTCCTTGACATTCACCGTCAGACCCTCAAGGACATTTGTTGTAGGCTTACTTGATTTCCGGTCAAAGAAACTTAACTTCCGGTATCGCTGAAACGCCTGTCCCAAAATGTCGCAGCTCTTAATGTTGGTGGAAAATGAAAACGAGGCTGGATCCAATGCCCATATATGACCAGTTTGAGTACTGTGCGCAGGTTCCGGCCATGGACTACCAGGCCTTGCCCGTTGACCCTTGTAATGGAGAAAAGTAACTTATTTGAAATAATAAAAGAGACCCTTTCATACGGGGCGATAGGTTTCACAATATGGAATCCCTTCCTAAGGGACCATTCATAATTTCACCCCCTCTAGCCATAAATTATGAACGGTCCCTAAAATTTTCTTGTCAAAACCTGTCTCTACACGTAACACTGCTAACGCCAGCGCCAGCGATGAGACCTGGGTGTTCGACTGGCGGGTTGAGGCCACATGTCAGTGCCCCTTTAATAACCAGGGCCCCGTTTCACAAAGCTCTCGTAAGCCTAAGATCTCGTAACTTTTCTCGTCACATTCGCACTTCCTATACTGTAACATTGACTTACGAAAGTCGTAGCGCTACGAGAGCTTTGTGAAACGGGGCCCAGGCAATAACCAGTCTGTGGACGGGGCAACCAAAACAACCCCGTTCACATATGTGAGAGTAAGGAATATATCTGCGCATCATCTGTTGTTTTTATAAATAAATATACTATTAAAGAAGAGTACGTAGAAAGGTACATTTGATCCTCGACATAAACATGGAGCTTTTACAGGATACAGGTGTGGCCAGCTGTATGTAACGCTCTGTCACCTGGGGGTCACACACGGTACACACCCGCCCATCAACCCCGGAGACATCCACCAACAGCCAGGCGTGTCTCAACAAACACTGCAGATAGCAAGGCTCATTTGTTAATCTAGATAATGGCTTCATGCATAATGTCACACAATGGTAGGACAGTGTTGGCTCTCACAACCAAAACTGTTAAGTGAAAGGGGGCGGTGGGGTAGCCTAATGGTTAAAGCGTTGGCTTGTCACGCCGAAGACCAGGGTTCGAATCCCCACATGGGTACAATGTGTGAAGCCCATTTCTGGTGTCCCCCGCCGTGATGTTGCTGGAATATTGCTAAAAGCGGCGTAAAAACCAAACTCAATCAGTTAAGTGAAAGATAGAGAAGAATTTGTTTTTCATCACTGAACCAGTTTCACCATTTATTGTTATACTCACTCCACATGACTGACACAACATTCTGCCTAGAATTTCCTTTCCGTAACATTTCCGGGCAATCCTATAAAAACTGCGTTTGAGCAGTACATCTGCTTTCGAACGTGTGGCGAGCAATTTAATATAACATATCACATTTGAATTGAATGTTTCATGAAAATCAACAATATCATTATCTCCTGTGCGTTTTCTGTTTTGTTAGCATGAACCCACATTGCTGCACTGGTTTCCCGATTATATCTTTGAGGGGCGGTGGGGTAGCCTAGTGGTTAAGGCGTTCGCTCGTCACGCCGAAGACCCGGTTCCCATATGGGCACAATATGGGGAATCGTGTTTCTGGTTTTCCCCGCTAAAAGCGGCGTAAAACTTAACTCACTCACTCATTTCTTAGACATGTTAAGTTGGGGAAATATCTGGGCTCAATGCTGCCCATGACATTCTATGGATGCTGTGCTGCTGGAGGTGAGCTTTGACGAACGTTGTCGTTCTAAAAGACGTGATTAGTTACACGTACTTTGACACGCATAGGCGGATCCAGAGTGGATCGTGGGGTTGGGGTGCGCAGAGGTGCACATATAGTCTGCGATTACATATAACTTTGATAGAAACAAATAATTCCATTTAAATGCAACAGGAGCCTCAGTGAGATGGGAGATTCAGAACCTGAGGAAATCTAGACTTGCTTCATTCTCGACTTTAGCATTGCAGGGAGGGATGGTAGGGAATGGGGGGGGGGGCACAGCACGCGGGATGGAGCATGGAGATGAGCTGCAAGTCTTCGACATCTCAACGTTCGCCTCACCCTAGTTCGTTCTAGCTTGAAGTCGGCAGCAATTGGATTCGCCATTTGAACACTATTTCAAAGAGAATGGTTTGGATCTATTGATCTTGCTCCTGAACAGGTTCGATGGCCAATATCGTCAGTCAACTGTTCCAACTAGCCTGTACTATCGTCTGCTGGCCACAGACTGTGAAATATTTAACGTATTGACCACTGCAGGCTGACGTCTGCTAGTTTGATTGAAGGCAAGTTTGATTGAAGGCCCGAACGTGCAAAGCGTTTTATTTAAATAGTATTGGCTTGCCCAACCTACCTACAGCATGGGTTTTATTAAGAACTACTACCTACAGACGATAGAACTACTTACAGACGTAACGTGACGCCCCTGGCAAGGTTGTGAAAGCAGAATAGGTGACAGGTCGTTTTCACTTAACTTTGTTAAATCTACTCGGCACAAAAAGAAACCATGCACATAAAAACATCTGAATTTATATTTGAACTACATGTGTACAAGTGCACCTCTTTGTGCAAGTGCAACATTCGAGCACATAAATGTCAGAAACTGATGTCAATTTGGCGTTGGAGCTTTCAACTGAACCGCACATCTTGCAACGAGGCCAGGAACTAGTGGGATGGTGGCCCATGAGGACAGATGAATACGGCTGACAAATGTCCGGCACAGAATCCAGATTGCAGTGACCACTGCTCAGACCATTCCAGGGCCTACATTTTCGAAGCTCTCTTAGCGCTAAGATAGTCGTAAGTTAATGTTAATGTATGGCACTTACGACTATCTTAGCGCTAAGAGAGCTTCGAAAATCTAGGCCCAGGACTTCAGCGTATCCACCCCAACACAGTCAGGAACGGCTTACGTCATTACGGGACACGACCACGTCCGCCTCGACGTACGACCTATCCTGACGTAACGTCACCCAGATAATCCTCAAAGGTGGTGCAGACATCACGTCCATCAACCTCGGTTTTCTTGGAGGTCTGTTGCTGGAGCAGACGGGGCCGGATTTACCTTTTCCCGTGATGACGGAGGTCGACATGTCCACAGACGTCATGGGTAGGGTTATACTCATGCCTGTGTCATGGAGAGGAATCGCTTTGGGGGTGGTTCCGTGATGATTTGGGGTTGGATCAGTGCACGTCAGAGGAGCCGTTTTGTTGTCGCCCATAGCCATTTGTCAGGTGTGGGTTACGGAGATCAGATTATTGGACCAGTGGCAATTATGGTTCTTCAACGTCATGTCCCAGGATTGACGTTCAGACGGAATAATGCCCGTCCTCACACGGCTAGTGTTGCTGTGACATTTCCCCAACAGGACGATGTTCGAGTACGGCCTTGCTCTGCAAATTCCCCGGATCTCTCCATCATAAATCACGTGTGGGGTGAAACATAGCGTCGTCTACACCGTGTACCAATTCCGAGAGATAATGTTCGTGACAGGAGATTTGTAGATGGCGTAATATAAGCCTTTCACGACTATTTCATAGACCCTATGGGTCGGCTTGTATTAACATATGTAGTTCACGATCTCTTATTTTTTCTATGAAGATATTATCTTCGTGACCTTACCTGAACTAATTGGCAATTTGAGGTCATCTTGACATAAGGTTTGAGTTTTCCACATGTCCTTGAAACTATCCCCGCGAGATAAAGTTGTGATGATTCATTAAAGGTCACTTTTTGTATACAAAGTGGGCCGGTGTTCGGCAAACGCCATCAAAGGATTTTGTCTGCTCAGTAGGAAAACAGTTCCAGCGTATGTTAAAACACAGGCAAAACTATACATCAGGCTTATAAAAAAAAATAGACAAAGAAACAAACAAAACAAAATCTCGACACAGAAATAATCCATATTGTCCTCTGGTAAAAAAGTTGTTACACTTAAAGAAAATGTCACTCACCTGCAGAGGAAGTCTTGCCGCAATGTATGTCACGTGACCCTGTCCATGCCACACCTGGCAGAACAGAAAGAACATCACAAGTAGACACCGACCAGACACAGGTAGACACCACCCAGACACAGGTAGACACCGACCAGACACAGGTAGACTCCCCCTGTACACACACGGCAACGCCATACTCCTGCCTGATGGGGGGCCTCGGGTATGTGAAGTGAGATGGTGTATCGGGACTATATATGCCTGTACATATTACCTACGTCAGATCCCCTACCTTATCAGAGAGAACTGGGGTGGTGAAGACGGGGTATTGGGTATGGTGGGACTGAACTCAAAGGTGAAGGCGGTAGAAGTGGGCGTGGCGGGACGGAACTTGGGTGGGGATACGGTAGATGTAGGCGTGGCAGAACGGCACTGAGGTGGTGAAGGCGGTAAATGGGGGCGTGGCGGGACCGAATTGGGGTGGTGAAGACGATAGATGGGATATGGCGGGATTAAACACGATTGGTGAAAGCGGTAGATGTAGGCGTGGCGGGACTGAACTGAGATTGTGAAGGCCCTAGATGTAGGCGTGGCGGGACGGAACTGGGGTGGTGAAGGCGGTAGATGTAGGCATGGCGGGAATGAAGTCGGATGTGAAGGCGGTAGATGTGGGCGTGGCGGGACGGAACACGATTGGTGAAGGCGGTAGATGTAGGCGTGGCGGGACTGAACTGAGATTGTGAAGGCCCTAGATGTAGGCGTGGCGGGACCGAATTGGGGTGGTGAAGGCGATAGATGGGATATGGCGGGATTGAACACGATTGGTGAAAGCGGTAGATGTAGGCGTGGCGGGACTGAACTGAGATTGTGAAGGCCCTAGATGTAGGCATGGTGGGACTGAACTGAGATTGTGAAGGCCCTAGATGTAGGCGTGGCGGGACCGAACTGGGGTGGTGAAGGCGATAGATGGGATATGGCGGGATTGAACACGATTGGTGAAAGCGGTAATGTAGGCGTGGCGGGACTGAACTGAGATTGTGAAGGCCCTAGATGTAGGCGTGGCGGGACCGAACTGAGATTGTGAAGGCCCTAGATGTAGGCGTGGCGGGACTGAACTGAGATTGTGAAGGCCCTAGATGTAGGCGTGGCGGGACTGAACTGAGATTGTGAAGGCCCTAGATGTAGGCGTGGCGGGATCGAATTGGGGTGGTGAAGACGTTAGATGGGATATGGCGGGATTGAACACGATTGGTGAAGGCCCTAGATGTAGGCGTGGCGGGACTGAACTGAGATTGTGAAGGCCCTAGATGTAGGCGTGGCGTGACCGAATTGGGGTGGTGAAGACGTTAGATGGGATATGGCGGGATTGAACACGATTGGTGAAAGCGGTAGATGTAGGCTTGGCGGGACTGAACTGAGATTGTGAAGGCCCTAGATGTAGGCATGGTGGGACTGAACTGAGATTGTGAAGGCCCTAGATGTAGGCGTGGCGGGACCGAATTGGGGTGGTGAAGGCGATAGATGGGATATGGCGGGATTGAACACGATTGGTGAAAGCGGTAATGTAGGCGTGGCGGGACTGAACTGAGATTGTGAAGGCCCTAGATGTAGGCGTGGCGGGACCGAACTGAGATTGTGAAGGCCCTAGATGTAGGCGTGGCGGGACTGAACTGAGATTGTGAAGGCCCTAGATGTAGGCGTGGCGGGACTGAACTGAGATTGTGAAGGCCCTAGATGTAGGCGTGGCGGGATCGAATTGGGGTTGTGAAGACGTTAGATGGGATATGGCGGGATTGAACACGATTGGTGAAGGCCCTAGATGTAGGCGTGGCGGGACGGAACTGAGATTGTGAAGGCCCTAGATGTAGGCGTGGCGTGACCGAATTGGGGTGGTGAAGACGTTAGATGGGATATGGCGGGATTGAACACGATTGGTGAAAGCGGTAGATGTATGCTTGGCGGGACTGAACTGAGATTGTGAAGGCCCTAGATGTAGGCGTGGCGGGACGGAACTGAGATTGTGAAGGCCCTAGATGTAGGCGTGGTGGACTGAACTGAGATTGTGAAGGCCCTAGATGTAGGCGTGGCGGGACTGAACTGAGATTGTGAAGGCCCTAGATGTAGGCGTGGCGGGACTGAACTGAGATTGTGAAGGCCCTAGATGTAGGCGTGGCGGGATCGAATTGGGGTGGTGAAGACGTTAGATGGGATATGGCGGGATTGAACACGATTGGTGAAGGCCCTAGATGTAGGCGTGGCGGGACTGAACTGAGATTGTGAAGGCCCTAGATGTAGGCGTGGCGTGACCGAATTGGGGTGGTGAAGGAGATAGATGGGATATGGCGGGATTGAACACGATTGGTGAAAGCGGTAGATGTAGGCGTGGCGGGACGGAACTGAGATTGTGAAGGCCTTAGATGTAGGCATGGCGGGACGGAACTGAGATTGTGAAGGCCCTAGATGTAGGCGTGGTGGGACTGAACTGAGATTGTGAAGGCCCTAGATGTAGGCGTGGCGGGACTGAACTGAGATTGTGAAGGCCCTAGATGTAGGCGTGGCGGGACCGAATTGGGGTGGTGAAGGCGATAGATGGGATATGGTGGGATTGAACACGATTGGTGAAAGCGGTAATGTAGGCGTGGCGGGACTGAACTGAGATTGTGAAGGCCCTAGATGTAGGCTGGACTGAACTGAGATTGTGAAGGCCCTAGATGTAGGAGTGGCGGGACTGAACTAAGATTGTGAAGGCCCTAGATGTAGGCGTGGCGGGACCGAATTTGGGTGGTGAAGGCGATAGATGGGATATGGCGGGATTGAACACGATTGGTGAAGGCCCTAGATGTAGGCGTGGCGGGACTGAACTGAGATTGTGAAGGCCCTAGATGTAGGCATGGCGGGACAGAATTTGGGTGGTGAAGGCAGGTGGGATGATATGCGTGGAGGGATAGGCGTGGCGGGACTGAACTGGGGTGGTGAAGGCAGTAGATGTAGGCGTGGCGGGACTGAACTGAGATTGTGAAGGCCCTAGATGTAGGCATGGCGGGACTGAACTGGGGTGGTGAAGGCGTAAGAAGTGGACATGGCGGGACTGAACTTGGATGATGAAGGCGGTAGACGTGGGCGTGACAGAACGGAACTGGGATGGTGAAGGCGGTATATGTAGGCGTGGCGAGACTGAACTCGAAGGGTGAAGGCGGTAGATGGGTGTATATCAAGGCTGAACTGGGATGGTGGAGGTGGTAGATTTGGTATATGGCGAGACTGAACTCGGTAGATGGAGTATGGCGAGACTGAACGTGGGTGATGTTGGCGATACATACATGCGTGTTTCAATGTTTTCAATATTGAAATTAGGTAACAGATATATTACAAAGGCTAGTTAGGATCACATTGTTAACTTTAATGCTGTAACACTGATGCCATGTTTCAGTAACAATTTCACGCTCAGGATTTAATTGGATCGATTTGTGTACTGAACATGCATCGACCGAACACTGTGTCGTGACTGGCTGTACGTTTGTAAGTGGAACTGGAACATTCTCAGGAGATATTACCACTCTCCTACCCAGAGTTCCATGCCGCAAGCCAGCATAGTACCTCTGCCACAGGCCATAAAAATGTGACGATTCGTCACATCTTGCACCGTCCATTCAATATAATGTACAGATTTCTTTTACTCTTTAATTTTTTGACGAGTCTACACATCTAACTAAACATCTTTAATCATAATGGAATGAATTAGTTTCACTGAGAAAATATCCAAAAACATGTAACACTATTTCGATTTGCGTAGCGATACTTTGTTTACATAGGTTATACGGCTCCACGTGCTGTCATCGAAGCCGACGGAGAGCAAACGATGCAGCCAGTTTGATATCTAAATATGTACTGTCATAGACCTAACTGTCGCAGTTGTGGAAGAATATATATGTAACAATGTAAAACATTATGAAGAGAGCGCCGAAAAGCTTTCGTGAGTCCAGTCTCTTCTTATTATGAATATGCGCGGTTGATTACAAACAAGAGAAAAGTCCGGTCACGTGATATGCAAAATTAGCCTGTAGCAGTGATGTTATGTTAAGTCATCGCTGTGCCGGAGTGTGGAGATATTACGTGCGCTTGCAGAAGTTCCTACATACACTGTTTGCTCATCATTTTTCTCAAAATACGAAGTTTTCTTTTCTCTTCTTTATGGACAGTGGGAATTTGAAGACTTGCTTATTTTCACATGACGGGTCACTTATCGGCTGACAGTTTCACAACAGATTATTGGTTTATGCTGGCGGATTGTTCTACTTGAATACAAACGGAGGCAGTGATGTCGACAACGTGCTGACATCTCATCACTCGCCTTAGTTCCAGGGAATGGCTGGAGTTTTGGTAGATATGGGTAGATATGGGTAGGCTTAGAACTAAGACTGGCACAATCTCTAAGCACCAAAGGAACCATCAACCTTTCCTTTGGTGACCTCACACATGAACAACGTCCTCTCGCTACTTCCGGGTAGTCATCAGTGAAGATCCGGTTCAGACTTGGATCTTCAGTAACCCATGCTTGTCGTAAGAGGCGACAAACGGGATTGGGTGGTCTGACTTGGTTGATGCTTCTCATCGTATCCCAATTGCGTAGACCGATGCTCATGATGTTGATCATTGGATTGTCTGGTCCAGACTAGATTATTTACAGACCGCTGCCATATCGCTGGAATGTTGCTGAGTGCGGCCTAAAACAACAAACCAACCAAAAACAATCATCGCATCCAGGTATTTCGTTGGTCGATGTTCTTGATGTTAATCACTGGATTGTCTGGTCCAGATTCAGTTATTTACAAACCTCCGTCATACAGATCGAACATTGATGAGTGTGTCGTTAAAATCAAACAAAGAACAAACCTCGTAGTCACTGTCAGTAGTTGTAGAACGGCGTTGACCCTTTACTTGCTTGTCTATACTGATGTGGCCTGATAAATATTAAAATCTGAATTCATTTATAATGTGTGGCTGGGTGGGTTAGGCGTTTGACTTTGTGTGCTGGCGATCAAGTGCCTGACTCTGAGGGTGTGGGTTCGAATCCTGGATGGGACTCAACCCAACAAAAAGTACTAGAATCTGTACTTTACTAAGAAAATGTAATCCCAAATATAACATATTTTGCATGTGTTCTCTCTTTTGGAAAATGCTGAAATCTTTCAGCCAACCCATGTCCGACACAGCGAACTAGCCGTAGCTATTTTTACGTCACTTGAATGGGTTCTGCTGCTTAGAGTTACCTCTCCTAGAACGCGATAACTGAGCCCGTCTGTAAGTAAACTTCCCTAATCCTGAAGATGGACAATCGGTAGATATAATGTTGTTACTGAACAGACATTAAGCCGATGTGTTTGCAACTTGGGTGGTTTCAGTGACTTGGCTGGATGATTTGGAAGATACACATATATTCATGACATGCAGCTCTTGTTGACATGATTCCCTTGGCTATGACCGGTGTCGACACGGCACATGGGGTCCCGGAAATAATATTACCTTTTTTTAGAAATATATATCTACAACATACAACGCATATAATC